TTATGGCGATCCCAGGCGGGGGCCTACTTAGCGAGACCTGTTGTTGGTACGTGTTTTAAGTGTTGGTCGCGCCAGCCACCTGCACCCTGCCCCATCTTCGGTCTCCCTGACTTTTGTCTTGATATCGCGTCCGGAGTGGAAGTGGTGGGAGGCTTAGGTAGATTTTCCGTCGGTCGGCTTTCACTATAATCCAGCGAAAGCCACCGCGTTGCTTCAGCTTGCTAAAGCTCGTAGTGGACATCGCCGAAATCGAGGGTCAAACTTTCGCGAAATGTGGGGCTTGTTCCCAAAACGAACTTTACACTAGATGTACTGAATCCACGTAGGACCAGATCACGACTGGACAGCCATCATAAGGTGTACGCAGGCAAATACATTATCATATCCAGGGTTTTTTTTTCACACATGGGCACAACCGCACACCGCGCAAGCGACCTGCGGCTGATCCCGCATCCGTTCGACTTGACTCTTTCTTCACCACGGGCGCGCGTGGGTGAGGAAATAGGGAATGCAGCAGGTTTATGGAAAGAAGACTATCACTTTTAAAAAATTCCCGTGCAAACCACCGTCCTCGCAGTACAATTCCATGGAGCAAATAGTGGACCTCTTTAGACTTGACGGTTGAACTCCCGTATGTACGTAAAATCAAGTGGCTGGATGCGGTTTCGACAATGTCACTCTGGTGCTGAATTTCGCAAATGCATAAGCATCTGAATATATCCATGCGATGACAGAATGCCCTGAAACAGTCAGAACAAGCGAAACACACTGATATGCTGTTTGCTGGGAGTCGTGTTACTGATTCGCCTGTAGAAATGTCGTGAACCCAGAAGTCATAAGCAGTAGTATATTTACGTGAGCGCAATCAAGTTTTCTGGGCATACAGATTGAATGGCCTAAGTTTCCATTAATTGCTTTATAAAATCGCATCGTGAGCAACCCCTTTTCTGTGAGATAACATGCCAGCTAGAATACTTTTAATCCAACCAACTGCTTTCTAGGATACAAGGCGTCTAAATTTGCCGTATATGACCTGCCGCAACCGCCATATGAGTCTTTGATTGTCACACATGCGCGTGTATTCAAGGAGGAAAGTCAGATAAACGAAAATTCGTAAACAATGAAACATGTTCGATGGTATTTTTCGGCTGATCTTTAAGGCTTCTAGTACATGTTCTACATCTGTCCTCCGATGACTGTACAGAAGTCATACTAGCACAATGCGCGTCGCGAAAGTGCAACCGATGAGTGCACGACATAGTTTGACAGTCTATTCCGACGAGGTTCACAGTAGGCCTCACATAAGGGCGAGTGCAGGAAAAATGAAATGCATAGGAATCAATTTATAGTTATAGTTGACTTGCTCTGCATCAAAGCGCTCTCGTCTCCCACATTCTTGGGCCAATTTTTATAAAATAGGAAAGAAGACCAGAGAGAATACGAGGCACAGGCGGTTGACGCAGTGCGAACCTGCATCTAGGCGTGCTACGAGACCACAGGAGGGGCATTTACTCTGGGTGCACGTACCCGATAATGACTGCTGTGACGTGATCTGACCCGGTTTTAACAGGTCTAACACTCAGGTCCTCTAGATATTGTTATATTGTATATGTAAATTACGCAGAATTCCGAGAGCTGATATATGAAATTATAAACCTCTCGAACAGCGATTAGAAATATATTACTGCTGAAAAAAACAAATAACATTATTTCTTTCCTGAAGTTATTTTCAGCGCGAACAGCCAGATAACGGTGCACCTATTATCGTTACACAACGAACTCGTAAGCAATCCAAATGCATACTTTACAAAATAACGCTACTGATATCATTTAATTAGGTCCCGTGGAGAAAGGATGCTAGATACAAGGCTGGCAGCGCTAGATCAAAATTGCGGAGCAGTCTGAGGGAAAGCGTGAAGTGAGTGGTTTAGAACTAATCAGTGTCGGACACATTCAGCTGACGCGAACAGGAGTACAGACACCAAACTCTGACAATGAAATCGAGCACGCTTTTGAAACGTCAGTCAAAATACACCTTGGTCCCAGAAATCGTCTCTTCTTCCTCCTCTTCCGGGAATGATGAAAGGAATACATTAGATTAGGTTTTTTAACTGAAGGTTACTAAACACACAAACTCGAGAGTTTAAAAAGAAAAGGAAAAGGCCTATTTCGCACTATAATTAATGCATGTGTGCACTGTACAACATGCAAACGCCTAAAGAAGTCTTGCGTTCTAAAAAAAACTGATTGATGTTTTAGTCGCAAGTCACCGTTAAAAATAGTCATGCGTCAAAATGTTGAGAACTATGCCTATAAGTACAAAGGTCAGACAGCACAATTGGGCATCAACTTGTCGAATAACTATCATTAGAACCCACCATTTGACTGTGAAGCGCAGCCAGAGTCCGAGCTAGTACCTCTAGGACTGCACCGGCCTCCTTTTCGGAGAAGAAGTTTTGACGCAGAATTTTGTCGAACAGTTCTCCGCCTTCCAGGTAATCCATCACCAAGTAAACCTTGTTTTCGAATTCATAGACCTGCAGTAAGCAGATAAACAAAGTTTATTTCTACTCTGATGATTGCAAGGCCAAGTGATTACGAAACAAGGATAGTGCCTGAATTAAAACAAACAATACCGAAAGAGGATGCAGTTGATCAATTTGTGCAGAAACCACACAATTTGCGGGGAGAAGCGATCGATGGAATAAAATTGATATTTAACTACGGTTTCGTATTCGGGCTTGAACGCATAATCAGCCGTCTCTCGTGATGGTAAGAGTAATATTGTAAGGATTCAGGCGAATAAGATCATTTTTTAATTATTACAATTGTAAGAATGAAAAGCCAAGAGTTTTTTTTAAAAATTAACTATTTTGAAAAAAGGATGGCTGAATATCGATAGAGGTATCCTACGTCAGACACATATGCTTGCCCTGATAATCTGTAACTATGCGCTAGAGTATTCGGAAAGCAGTTCAGGTCTAATATCATCACATGGTGGGTTCTATAAATTCAGCTGACATGTTTTTTTCTGCACAACATTCATATGGTAAGCTTTCTAAACGTGCATCGGTAGCCCTATTCTACTCACTACACACAAATTTGTACCTAGCTTTATTTATTTGATCCACACGAGTGAAGTCATCTGGGTACGACGCTAGCAAACTTTCGGAAAAAGTCAAATTTGATGTAGGCCTTACGACTAACTTACTGTCAATGCCTTATGATGTGCATAATTGCAGCATTTTACAATACTGTATAGTTTGTGCTCTTCCGGTGTTAGTTGTTTTGCGTACAATTTATACACATAGTAAATGGAGATCGTTTTGCTGAAAATTGCGAAATGACGTGTTTCAAAATATTGTGTTACCCGTTCTTTTTTCATCAACTAATCACAATACAGTCGACACATCTGGGTAAATAATACTACGCGTAGGGAGGACACCGGCTTGTAAACAATGCAGGTACCAACGTAGTTTATTTGTCGGGTTATCGCTTCAGAAATTCTTTTCATATAAGGAAGAAATATAATTTCCTACGTAACTCTTCCCCATTCGAATCCTGATTGCGTGGTTCCCTCGTCCCCCACGACACAGCGAGTCACAATTGAGACCAAAAAACACTTCCCTCACCTCCGACACAACATGATGCGCGTCATATCTCTCGCATGGTCGTTTGCCTACACCTCCAACTGCTTCCTTCAACAACACCGTGAAAATATACACCTCTCATTTCTTATTTTGTTTGACGACGGTTTGGTGTTACCAGGTTATAAATGTTTGAGGAAACTTCTATTTTCCGAAGAGCATTCTCCTACCATATACGCATGGAAGACAGGCACTCACCGATCGCCTACAAGGCTTACTCGTCCCTTCGTGTATTAAGGATCACTCTAGAGCCCCACAACCTTTGTACACTGACTAATGATATGTACAGAATGAAATTTACGACAGAGGTAGTGGAGACTGGAATGGTCATTGCGGGTTTATTAGCCCTCATCAGCCAGCCATTCTCAGCCCCAGGCGTTGCGGCACCCCATCGTCTAGCCTGAAACTCCTTGGCTAGAAAGCCAACGTTTTTAGCATAACTGGGCTCCCTGACTTGCCGATTTTGATCAGTAATGCGCACAACGGTAGCTAAGCGCATGCCGAGCGTTTCTGTCGTGCCAGAAAAGGCCGCTTTAGTCTTTCTTGTCTCCGTCGATAATGTCGTACTGCCTATACCGTTGGTCACTGTGCGGCTGCTGCAATTGGTCGAGAGTGAGCTCCAAGGAAGGGTGGGACGAAGAAGTCTTGTAACCGATCAGTGAACGCCTTCTTACCATTGTATATATTTGTCATGCAAGGCGGCGAGGCAACGAGCCACTGGCGAAGGGATTAGAGTGTTGCGCGCCCACCCAACAGGGCGTGGGTTTGAGCCTCGGTTGCAGCAACCTCTGGGTTTGGCTATATAACTGGTCGATGGGACGACCATTCTACTCATTCTAGGTCACGCTAGGTTAGCAACTGCAAGAAGAAGGAGTTGAATGGGGATAAACGACCCGAGAATGATAAACGCTTAAATGTGTGGGGTTGCAGACAGGCATGATTGCGAGCGTAACGGTGGAGACGTTGGTTAACAGTCCTGAGGAACAATTAGTTGGAATTGCAAGTGATGAATGAATCACCAGGTTTGCTGCTATTTTCTACATCGAATACGTGTCTTCCGTAGGTAGTATTTTCTAAGGGCTGCACGTGGACATGGCAGCGTGCCTGGAACCGCATCAAGGCATTTGCACACATACCCGCCGAATCCTTACGTTTTTTACGAGATACGCGGGTGTTATTATCACCGCAGTGGTGAAAACTAGACATGGCGACTAATTTTTTAATGTCATCTCTGACTTGCTGTTATCTACCATAAATATTTTAACCTAAACTCTCGTTACTATGCCGTCACAGCAGAGAATAACTAACTGTGCAATACCTAATAGAGAAATCAGCAGCTCAAAACTTATGCATTTTACTATTTCTCCTACTTCATCTTCCTCAAGTCATGTTTCCAATTGAAAGATGGTTTCGATTGGACCCTCAAATATTATTGACCGTGAAATCCAAACTGACGTTTATGCTTTCATGTATAATTTTCACTCCGAATACATCTTCCGTTCACAATGGGTAAAGATGGCAGCTATTCATAAGCTAATTCATTTACGACATGTGGCGAATTAAAGGCCTATTGAAGAGTTGTTAATGTGCATCGAGGCTTAAGTTTTAAAAGCCCGGGGAATCGCCTCTGTAAATGGTATTAGAAATATATCCAACCGGGCGTTTTCACTTGGTTAAAATCTAACGTACATGCCTGTACCCTCTCCCTGAAAGATTGGCATACTATTGCAAACTGTTTTGTACATAAGAAAGGGTTAATTGGCCAATCACTATGTCATGTACAGAAGATATTAGGATTTAGTTAGCAAAGGACCTTCGAAAAAGGAATGCTGAAATATGTATGTACGCTGACAGTAAGTGTTAGCAAGAAAGCAAAGGATATATTGCCAACATACATCACGAAGTGTTACCACGTTTGATAGACCTTTGAATCGTAGCATTATCTGCACCTCCTCCGTTGGATCACGAACCGTCGAGTCAATTATCTATCAGAAGACAAAAGCATGCAAAAATCACCTAGTTAATAAGCTGAAATTATATGTAGAGACTTATTTACCACTACAGATTGCAAAACTATAGCTGCACAGTGCGTCAAGAGGTTATTCCTAGCTGTGAATAGGTCAATGAAAATGAACGCACCTGACTGGTATTATTCACACGCTAAATTTTGTGTCACAATTGTATAATTCCAAAAAGACCATCCATGTTCCAAAATAGAATGCTCATCAAAGGCACGCATCGCACGTTTAAAGATGCTATATTTGTTTACTTTATATTTTCGCTGACATTTGCAGTACTGGCTTAACGACACGATACTGTCAGCGTATAGGCCAAACAGTTGTGCACACCTTGTCGTAAACGCACAGAGTGTGCACGCATTTATTCGCGAGAAAGTTAGATGACGTGGCTGATGTCGGCATCCACAATAGAGGGAATGGAACTGTAGTTTATTTTGCCGGTACATCTGTCAATATTCAAACTAAACAATGCAAAATAAGGTTGCCATCAGTAAGCTTAGCAAATATTTGCAAAACTTTGCATATGCTCTGACTCCTCGAAGTCTAAGAAATTAAATGGCCGCTTAAAGGTATTGCAGGTAAATGGCAGACCACGCAGACTTGCTCAATTGTGCGATAAAGAGAGACGTGGCAGATAGCATTGTAGATGCTATCCACCTAGACTACTAGCAGCTACGTCTGACTTCAGGGTTCGAGAAATAAGGCCGAAGACAGAGTGAGACAAGTGAGTTCAAGTGTCTTACTGTACCTACATAAGATGAGGGACTCTTTATGCAACAAAGTGTTTAGGCGGAATAGCACAGTGTGACACTGACTGAAAACTACTTGTAGTGCAGGTTTTTATTGCGCTTTACTCCAGGAATATTATCCACACCCATCTCCTATCGCCAACACTAAACCAAATCCTAACCTTAGCATTTAGCCTGACCCCAAAGTGATCCTTAATCCTA